CGCTCACTTGCATACTTCCACACCGAGTATAACGTCTTGCTCAAATGCGACAAGTAAGTTAAAAATTGAGCTTTTTAATGCGTGCTTTCTCACTTACATATCCAACATCAGAAACGCGGTGCATTTTTTCGCGGGCTCCCTCTCTTGCTTGTTTTAATGGCACATTTTTCCTTCCACTGAAGAAATTGTGTATTTGAAGAGAAATAAAATAAGCAGAAAGCGCTCCGCATGGAAAGACTGGGAGAGGATGTTCTGTTCATTCTTAACATTCTCTGAAATCAACTGCCTACTGTTAGTTACTTGAAATATCATACCGAACAGTGAATTACTGCTTTGCCACGCCTCTTTTTGTTAATCAGGGAAGCGAAAAAAAAGAATTTTAGAGTCTAATTCTTAACAGCGAAGGAATCTTTTTGTCCGTTTTTGATGCATTCGCAGGGTCATGCTTGCGTACGCTAATATTTTAATTGATGTGAGGTAAATTTTAAAGCAACTCACGAAATGGGTATCCGTCTGCAGCCTTAATATTGGCAGTGGGTGGCTTTTTTTGACAAAACGCTACTATTCAAGATTCTTCAGCATGTATCCCTCTTTTAATGCCCTGATTTAGGCATATTGAAACCTCAGGCGTATTTCCCACTTTTATCTGAACTAAAATCGAGTTCACTTTTTCTTTTTGAAGGAAAAAGTGGAATTTGTCATGTAAATTAAATGTCATGTAAATGAAATGATTGCTTTTTCATCTGATAATTGGGGCTGAATGAAAAAAAAAAATGAGTTCAATCTGAGATCGATAGATCGGAGATAAAAAAGTGATGTTGCAAGGGAGCGTAAATGGTTTAACAAATCGCTGTGTTGGCAGTCATGAACTAACCCAATTTAGGAGACCAGGGAATACAGGTTTAATAGAAAAAAAGGAAACACGTTTTTCGAATTTGAGCAAGTTTCTCGTAGCTCAGGTTTGCAATCTCCAGGACTTCTGGGATGTAGTGGAAGTTCATGCCCGTAACATTAAAACTTCATAAATCAAGTCTTTTTTCGCGAATTCTCATTTTCTTCTCATTGCTCTTACTTCAACCGAATATAGCACAGTGCGCAGCAAACTTCTCCACGTTCTTCGCTCGCTGTCAAGCAGTTTTTGCCACCCTTCTTACC